CCAGTACCAGGATGTTCTTGCCGTGATCTGGGCTCTCTGACTTTCCAAAGCTGGAAAAATCCTGAGTCATGCACCTTGCCATCTTCTTTTACCCCTGGAGTCCTCTCTGACACTCAGGTCCATGGTTTGTGTTAGCCTTCGACTTTATAATTATTGTCTTTTATATCTCAAGGACTTCTAAAATAAAGTGGAAGTTTTGCTTCCTTTGCTAATCCATTTGTTGGTTTATCTCTTGGTCCCTGCTCTGAATTCCCCTCTAGATGAGCCATTTTCACCTGAGGACAGCCATAGCTTTTCTTCTTGACTCCTTCGCCACCCAGACTTCCTGTGTGCTCACTTGTTCCCTCTGACATGCCCGGGCAGGAATTGTCCCCAGGATTCCCAGCCAAGCCCTGCCCTGGGCATGAAAGGGAAGTACAGTGGCTCAGGAGAGGGTGGACACTCGGTGCGAGCCCCCAGAGCTAGGGAATGGAACCTGAACTCTAGGATGTTCCTTTCTCTCTTCCCATCCAGCACTCTTGCTAGGGGGCATGGAGCGCTCAGACCTTTGTGCTAGAGCTGAAGAATCTGGACCAAAGGGAGAAAACAAATCAGGATCCCCATAGTCCAGCATCTCGCATTTAGGGTTCGGTCATCATGGCACTCTGGCCTGCCCTAAGTACCGTATCCAGTGAGTGTCAGGTGATCTCAATGGAGTGACTGCTGGAAAGAGAATTTTTCGTGCTGCACTTCAGGCTCCAAGGACAATTCATTGTTATGAGAGAAAAATGCATGGCTCTATAGAATTGAAATGCTCCATTGCAAGAAGCCTGCAGGTCCATGATTCCCCGGGAGCGGGATTCCTGCACTGTGAGCCCTTGACAGTTGTGCAAGCACACAGGAAAATGAATCAGCTTGGGTGTCAGTACATCATTCTTTTTTATGACTATTTCATTGTATGGATATACCACATTTTGTTCATCCATTCACCTACTGATAGACATGTGGATTCTACTTTTTGGCTATTATGAATAATGCTATGAAAATTCATATAGAAGTTTTTAGATTTTAATTTTTCTTGGGTATATAGCAACGGATGGAATTACTGGGTCAAATGGTAAGTCCATGTTTAACTTTTGGAGGAACTGCTAAACTTTTCCAAAGTGACTGCACCATTTCACATTCTCTGGAGCAATATATGAGGGCTCCAGTTTCCCCAGGTCCTTGCCAACACTTGCTCTCATTTTGATTATAGCCATCCTAGTATCCTGTCATGTTTTGGTTTACATTCCCTGATGGCTAATGATGAGCATCTTTTCATGTTCTTACTGGTCATTTGTATTCCTTCTTTGGAAAAATACCTCTTCAAATCCTTTGTCCTTTTTTCACTTAGGTTCTCTGGCTTTTTACTGTTGAGTTGTAAGAGACTTTAGATATTCTGGATACAAGTTTTTAGCAGAGACATGATTTAGAAATATTTTCTCCCATTCTGTGGGGTGTAGTTTGATAATGTGCTTTGAAGCACAAAAGTTTGTAATTTTGACGAGGTCTAGTTTACTCACTTGTGCTTTTGGTGTCATGTCTAAGAAAGTTTTGAACAACCCAAGGTGACAAACATTTGTTCCTGTGTTTTCTTCTAAGAGTTGTATGGTTTTGGCTCTTAACATTAGGTCTGTGATTGATTTTGAGTTAATTTTGGTGTGTGGTGTAAGGAAGGGTTCAGTTTCATTCTTTTGCACGTGCATATCCAGTTGGGACCATTAGTTGGAAAGAATATTCTCTTTTCCCACTGAATTATCTTGTTACTCTTGTCGAAAATCTGACCCACTTGTTCTTGTGTCTGTTGGCTGCTTCAGGCTTCGGACAAGACCACGGATGAACATAGGATGTCAGGTGTGTTTTAGAAACTCAGTGGTTTTGGTTCTTTAGCTTTGAGGGGCCCAAATGTTTAATTCCCGTTTACATTTCCAGGAACCACTAATGTAGAAATCACCTGTAGACCCAGGGCAAGAGCACAAGGCCCCCACGCTTCACTCAGTTAATCAATCGGTCATCAAACACTTGCGTCTGCTGGAGACTGAGGGGGTGACAGTGAGCACCACAGAAGGCAGACCTTGTCCTTACCCTGCAGAATTCATCATCTGATGGTGAAGGTGAAAGGCACTGAACAAATAATTGCAGGTGTGGTGGGTGGTCCAGAAGGAGAAGTACAGGTGTTGGCGGGGGGCAACTTCTAGGACAGAAGGAACCAGCATAACCTGGGACAGCCCCCCTAAGAAAGTGACAGTTCTGAATCCTGAGGAATGGGGCAGGGCATTCAGGCGGAGGGAAAAAGTCACGTGCCAAGGCCTTCGTGTGAGAATGAGGCATGAGGCCCAGGTTGTCAAAACCAGGTGAGTCTGGCGGTTTATAATTTAGGAATATACTGCTATCCTTCACACTCTCCACTTGGCCTGAAAATCCGGAAATCCAGCGTTTCTTGCCCTGTGTACACTTAGCCCTTTAGAATGTTCTGTAAGATAGTGCCATCAACAGTCTCACCTGGGTGAAATAATTTGCCATTTTCCAGATTGGTAGCTGAGGAAGTGGTTTAGCAATGAGCTGTAGTTCTGGACCTTAAGCATCCGAGGAGGGGGTGGGTCTGGGAGGGGTGTTTAAACACAGAGACCAGGGCGCCTGGGTGGCTCAGTCGTTAAGCGTCTGCCTTCGGCTCAGGTCATGATCCCAGAGTCCTGGGATCGAGCCCCACATCGGGCTCCCTGCTCAGCGGGAAGCCTGCTTCTCCCTCTCCCACTCCCCCTGCTTGTGTTCCCTCTCTCGCTGTGTCTCTCTCTGTCAAATAAATAAACAAAAAATAAAATAAACACGGAGACCAGCTCTGCACGGTCAGGCCGGTCTGGTGGCTGTCCCCCTCCTCTTTTAGGGTGTCCTCCAATGTTACAGAACTTGGATTAACACATAAAAATAGCTAGATTTCATTCTCGTTTATGATGTGGTAAAACCAGCTCTTCTGGAACCAGAATATTACCTTGATGGGTTTATAATGTGAATCGAGATTGTGAAAGTTCTCAAACTCTCAGGCTTTCAACACGAAGGGAGAAGGTGATAGTTCAGGTGGAAAAGGCTCTTTGTTGAATGCAAACACTAGAATCACAGGGACACTGAAGCAAGGGAAGAACGGGGACTTCAAACTGCAAGACTACTCAACCTTCAGCCGTCACTTTAAGGAGTGAGCAGCTTACACCTGGACCACTTTCTCCCTTGTTGGTCTCTTCTGGCTGTTCCATTATGTGGTGTCTCCCTTGGTTCATTTCTGTCTTTACCCACTGTTCTGAGTGATCTCTTACTCATTTATTTTTGCTGCCATATCAAGTTGCCACAATGTGGCTTAAAGTAGCACAAATTTAACTTCTAGTTCTATAGGTCAGAACTCTGCATGAGTCTCTATGAGCTAGAATCAGATTATCAGCAGGGCTGCATTCCTTTCTGGAGGTTCTGGAGGAGAACCTGTTTCTTTGCCTTTTCTGTCTTCTCGAGGCTGCCCACGTTCCTTGGCTTATGGCCCCTTTCTTCCGTCTTCAAGACCAGCAAAGTCTCTGACCCTTCTTCCATGGTCACAGTTTTCTCTGACCACAGCCAGGAAAGGTTCTCTGCTTTTAAGGACCCACGTGATTATACTAGGGCAGAATACTCTCCCCATCTCAAGATCTTTAGCCTTAGTACATCTGCGAAGATAACATATTTACAGGTGTCGGGGATCAGGACGTGGATGTCTTTGGAAGGCTGTTATTCACACTTGCAGAGATCTCAATGTCATGGCTCCTACTATTACCATGGGGTGAAGACTTCTGAAGCACTTGCAGACATTGAAAATGTGAGTCATTTGTGATAGTGGAGGGAATAGTACAAGGAACCCCTGTATCCCTATTACCCATACCCTGGCCCAATCAGCCTAAGATCACCAGGAACAAACCTGTAGTTTGACAAAATCTGATTGACTGATTCATTACGATGAAGGAGACCACACCAGAGGAACTAGGGGTGTCTGACCAAATAGGAAAAGAGAGAATTACAGGATTTGGGGGAAGGATAGAGTTTAGGTCAAAATGTAAATGAAGCAGTGCTTTGATAGGCTCAAAGCAAAGCAGGTCTGTGTATACAGGAGTCAACACCTGGTGTGAACTACACATAGACCCAGGTTCATTTCCAGCAAAAATACAAAGTTAAGGTAAATGTGGACTGTTGTGTTGAGAAGCCCCTTATCTGAAGCTCTGAACCGGAATTGCAAATCAAGACCGCTTCTCTCTGTCAAAGTGACTTAGATCCTCCTGGCAACAGAAGGGGGTTGGTTTCATTTTTACTGATAAAACTTCAAACAGCGAAGTTTCTGATGGTCCATCATTTTAGGGAACAAGGTTTCTCAGTGAGTCAGAAAGCGGTAGTTACGCAAAGAAGGGGGTGGTTCTGACACTAGCCCTTGGGAGGAGTATTGTTCCACGGTAACTTTGTAGCTGGTCTTACCTAGGGTCTGCCCTCCCAGCTTTGGTTTTCCTAGTCTGAGCTAATTTTTACTTTCTCACCCACTTCAGTTACCTATTCAGAGCCAATTTTGTGTCACCTAGGGCTACCTCTCACCCCTCTCAGATTGTTTTGAAGCAAATCCCAGACAGGAGGATGACTTTGAAAGCCAGCTCCGTCTGGACCTCGGCATCATTACCTGGCTACCCCTTCTGCTCAGCATGTGCAAAACAGTTCCCACCTCCACCCCCCTCACCTACCCCAACCCCGCAACACCCCCTGGCTTCTCCACTCACATGAGGAGTCCTCTTCACCCTCCAGCTCTCTTCCTACACCCTTTCTCGCCAAATTCTGCTTGTTCCTCTCTGAAAGCTCCCAAATCTTCCCTGCACCTTAGCGTCTGCTTCTCTAGTGGCAGGTGTGTAGTGGACGTTGCAGTCCAGTCCCCCGAATTCCTCGACTCCACACCCTCTTCCAGAGCAGTCGCAGCCCCCCCCCGCATCATGGCCGTGCCCGCCCTGTACTACCACCGGCAAGCCACTTCAACTCAGCCATGTGCAGTCATCCCCCCTTATCCGCGGTTTCACTTCCCCGCAGTCTCAGTTACCAGCTGTCAGCCGTTTTCTGGAAGCAGATGATCCTCCTGATGAGCTGTGGGAAAGTCCACAGTAGCCTAACAATGCGTCACAGCGCCTACGTCATTGCCCTCACTTCACCTCATCGCGTGGGCATTTTCTCCTCTCAGTGTCACCACGAGAAGGGTGAGCACAGCACAATAAGGTATTTTGAGCGAGAGTGCATTCATAAAACTTACATGGTTATAATTGTTCAATGTTGTTATTCATGATGAATTTGTTAATCTCTTACTGTGCCTAATTTATAAATTAAACTTTATCAGAGGTATGTACGTGTAGGAATAAAAATAGTATATATAGGGTTTGGTACTACCTGTGGTTTCAGGTTTCCACTGGGGGTCTTGGAATGTATCCCCATCAGATAAGGGGGAGACTACTGTACAAAGAAAACTGTGGTTTCTCTATAAAAGCACAGCTTCCAGTCAGGTCTTTGGCCAGCCCCTGCCACCCGATGACTGCCCCTCAGCCCTTTCTGTGGAGAAGTATTGGAGCTGCCGTGTTTATATAACCTCACCTGCCACCCCTCCTCCCATAAACCCCACAAGACTACCTATGCTTCCAGAAGACATCTTGTGTTTCCCACATAATGAAATGCTTCTCTCTCATCTTCTCCCACTCTTTTTTACTGAAAGAACTACTGATTCTGTCAGCCCCCAGTCTACTCCTCTCTCTGTGAGGCTCTACCCTGGCCCCACACAGAAGGAGCCAGTGTTTGTGCTCTTGGACACACTGCTTATTCAACTATGTCCGACTCTATCAGACCTGAATGAAAGTTGTCTGGAGACCTCTCTCCCCTCTTGGGCTTTGCCATTTTTGACACAGACCCTGTCTTGGTGGCTTTAGCACAGTGCCTGGCATTTATCTATTTACTGCTATTTGGCGAGTGCCTAATATAGACTTGCTAAATAAATGAATGAGGTAACTGGAGACATGATCTGCCCTTTCTGGGGTCATTGGGTTTGTGAGCTCCATATTATAATCACCAAATTATGAAGTGCCTTCTGTGTGCTAAGCACTACAAGGATATGCAAAAAAATTACGAGGCCAGACCCCATCCTCAAGTTGTCAAGGGAGCCGATGATGATTGAATGCCTACGGTGTGCCAGATACCCTGCCAAACACTTTGTAAATGTGATTTCATCCGCTCAGTAATCTTATGAAGGAGGTTTAAGATCCCAGTTTTTACCAGTGAGGAAATAGAAGCTCAGGGAAGTTAGGGAACTCACCTGGGGCTCCTGTACCAAGTGGTGGAGCTGGAGCTCAAACCCAGGTCCACCCTGATTCCAGAGTCTGTTCTCTTCCCACAACAAACTGCTTGTTAAGGGAGACAAAGCTAGACTTTCAGAAAAGAAGGCCAGCATGCATTTCTTTGGCCCCCTACTTAGATTTATCAGTCCACTTGGGTTGCTCAGGCAGGCAGAACTTCTAGCTTGCTAGCACTGCTAGGTGGGGGCCCCCAGGTACATCCTAAATATGCCTTTGGCCCCGCGGGTCCTGAGCAGGCAGACATGCTTCCAGTGGCCCAGATCTCCTCTTCCTGGCAACTGCGCCTTCAAGGTGCTGAGTCCCTTAAGGCAGCAGGCATTGAGGTGCATTTGGAAACTCAGTGAAGATCCTGGGATGCCTTTACAAATGCCATCCTACCCAACTTCCTGGTCCAACCTGGATGTTGCTATCGGACAATTCTAAAACAGCTTTAATCATATTCAGTCTTGTCATTAAAAAGATTGGCATCTAAATGCAAAGTGGTATCCTGGATTGGAATCTGGAATAGAGAAAGGGCATTAGTGGAAAAACTAGTGGAATCCAAATCAAACCTGGAGTTTAGTAAATAATAATATCCCAGTGTCAACTTCTTAGTTTTGGCAGATGTAGCATACAAAGCAAGATGTTAGCATCAGGGAAACTGGTGAGGGGTATATGGAAAGTCTCTGTACTATCTTTGCAACTTTTGTCTCAATCTAAAATTATTCTAAAACTGGGGCACCTGGCTGGTTCAGTCAGTAGAGCATGTGACTCTTGATCTCGGGGCTATGGGGTCAAGCCCCACGTTGGGCATAGAGCTTACTTAAAAAAATTATTCCAAAATAAAAGTTTATTTAAAAAAGTGTTGGTGCCTCTTACAAGGTGATGACCAAGCTCCTGAACTGAGCTTTTGGGATCCTCCAACCTTAATCTTCCCCTACTCTGTGAAAGAATCCTCTGTTCTAGCTAAATGGTTTTACTCACTGTCCTCTGCACAGTTTGTGCTCCCCTCACCCCCGTGTTGGCCCTAACCATGCACCCTGCTGGACTGATAAACTGCCAGGGAGTCGTCATGGTCCTTAATTGCAAACAAGCTGGTTACGATGGATCTAATGAAGCTCAAGCTTCAAGGCTGTCATTTGCAAAGTCCCAGAGTGTCCAGCGTGGCTGTTAGGAGAATGTGATCTCCCATAACTGCTCCTGCCACACAAAGTTCCTCACGGACCTGAGACTCTGGTAAGTATATCTTAGTTGCAGTCTCAGCCACATGCCCTTGACATGCCAGGTAGCTGCAAGGGAATCTGAGAAAGGCAGTATCTGACTTTTCATCTTCACTGTGCTGAGGCTGGCTCTCCCTCCAACCACAATGGGAAAGTCCCCGAGCACAGGAAGGGGATTCATTCACTGGTTCTCCACAAAGTGGCAGATGTTCACTACAGGTGGGTTTTCTAGAGCGAAAGCTTACACTAGGGACAGTGGGCCCAGCTGACACTTGTGAAACCAGCTTAATTTGGCCCAGAGGCTGCATGGTCCACATTAAACTCTTGCATTTGATTCATTAGGCCAGGGTCAAGGGGACTTCATCTCCCGAGAGCACTTGAATTAAAACCCTTACGGTGGAAAGGGCCCATGTGCACAACTTTGGGAGCAGCAATGGAAAAGAGTAGTACTGGGGAGGTACAGCCTCCTCTGAACCTGGGGGCATTCCCCAAGGCAAGAGAACACCTGTGTTCTCTGTCTCCGTGGTGGCCCCGTCCCCCCTCCAGCCACCACAGCTAGAAAACTGGGGGCACCTGACTCCTCCCTCTCACTCATCCCCAACAGCTGGCTGATCATCTGGGGCTAGCAATTGCCCCCTACTATTTCTCAGCTCCGTCACCAGCAAGCACCATCTTCCGTGGCTGACCTCCCCAGCTGGGCCAGGCGCCTTTGTGCTCCTGCCGAGTGCCCTTTGCGTGTATCTTATGGTTGCCCTTGCCACCATAGCATCCAAATAGTCTATTTCCCCGTCTCTTCAGTAGATCACTGGATACGTCTTATGCATCTTTGTATCTCCAGTGCCTGGCACATAGGAATGGGCAGCTCAATAACTATTAGAAAGAAGGAAGAAAGGAGAAGAGTAGGCTGAGCTTGAGGAGCTCCCTGTACTAAGCAATGAACTGTCCCTGCCACTCCTACCCCTTTATGCTGCAAGCACCATGCTACATGCCCACCAGGTCCCAGGCCAGCTCCCAGCCAGGCGCTGAGCAGCCTTTCCAATGTGACAGGTACAAGTAGAAGACAGGCAGGGAGCCCTTTGAGTCTGCTCTCGGACTCCCCCGAGCCAGGTGATCCTGGGGCCGCTGGGCACCAGGCAGGGCCTCATGAGGAAGGAATTGCAGGAGGCAGAAGAGGCCCCAGGCCCTGACTGGGTAAAACTGCAACATTAGCCCCAGATTGCCCTCCTCAGACTTATACACAAGAAAGATTTAAACCTAAGTCACTGTCATTTGGGGTTTTATCATTGTATATAGCTCAACTAATAATCTGGGGGCTCTAAGCTTGCTGTGACATTCTCTCTTGCCTCGTCTGGGGCCCTGCTTGCAGGATGGGTGTGTGTCAGAGGCCTTGCAACTAGAAACCCCGGAGAATGTTACCCGGCGCTGGAGACCCCCTGCCGTGGATAGATGGTTCCCGGGTCCCCGGTGCCAGCACGTGGGAGGAATGAGGAAAGAGCATGGAGAGAAGCCGTGTCACCCTGGGCAAGTCATCAGGCCTAGCTACTCTTTGGTTCCTTGCTTTGAAAACAAGAACGATGTTCTTCAAAGTTCTTACAGCCTCAAGTTCAAAATATTTGCCTTCCGAAGGAAAAAGTAGTACGGGAGAGATGGAGGACTTGGGGTTAGGCGTCACACCTGGGCTCCAGTCCTGGTGGGGCCGCTAACCTTTTGTGCAACTTTGATCAGTTCAGGAACCTCTCTGAGCCTCTCTTTTCCTTAAGTCTGAAAGTGAAACTATCTTTGCTCCCACTTTTTTTATATAAATGTTTTATTTATTTATTCATGAGAGTCAGAGAGGGAGAGAGGGAGAGAGAGGCAGAGGCAGAGGGAGAAGCAGGCTCCCCACCTAGCAGGGAGCCCGATGCGGGACTCGATCCCAGGACCCTGGGATCATAACCTGAGCCGAAGGCAGACACTTAACCATCTGAGCCACCCCAGCGCCCCTCTTTGCTCCCACTTTGCAGGGCCGTTCCAGGATTAGAAATACTGTAGACAAACTTCTGCGCACAGAGTAGCCACTCAGTAAGTGGAGCTGGTAGGTCTGTGTGGGTGGAGAGTCTTTCAGAGAGTCTAGCTGAGCTGAGCCCTGGGCGGTGAGGCGAGGAACATGATGGGAGGCAGAATGGTAAGGACAGACCAGGCAGGTAGGCAGTGTGGGAAAAGGAAGGAATACGTATGATGTGATGGTGAAGAGGGGATAGAGTGTGGTGCCAAGTGGGGAGAGACGATGTGTGCCTAAGTGGGATGCAAGACAGACCGTAACCGGTGCTGCTTCCAGCAAAGGGAATGCACGGATCCCATGGCATGTGAGCTGGGCACCTCACGGGAGGAGGATCTGTAGAGCAGAAGCTGGGATGACAGTGGCTGTGGAGTTAAGGCCACGGACAAAGGCAGGGAGCTAGGAACGTGTCCTGTGTGTTCTGGGGGCGGGGAGGGCAACGGTGGATGAGGAATGCTCAAAGGCTTTAAATGGAGCACTTGGGCCCCTCTTCTCTGCAAGGCCATGACAGGCCGGTGAGCCTCTGATGCTCACACTGTCTCCTACCTGCTTCCCCTCAGCACGCTGTGTGGGCTGTGTCTGTGAGGCCAGAGCCAGAATGCCTGGGTCTGGACTGAGCCTCT